TTTATTTATGAATTTTACTATTACTCATTACATTTATTATTATTTATTAAAAAATTTTTAATTATTTATTAAATAAAGGTTCGATTCCTTCTAATTTTATGTATTATTTATATAAATATTATTGCTTTATTATATTAACGTGATATTTGTTTTTATTTGAAGTACTGTTTTCAAATTTTTTATATCCTTTTTTTGTATGTTTATGTACTAATAATAACTTTTTACTTAACTTAAATTAATTAACAAAATATTTTTTTATTCAGCATTTATTAAGTGAATTAACAAGGAAAATAAACAAAATAAAGTCGACGACAGCGCGGATGTTAAAATCGTATTTTTCCTTTACTTTAATTTATTTGCTTTTCTAGTCCATTCTCTTTTTTTATATTATTTTAATTATTTTTTCATTTTTTATTTTATTTTATTATATTAATTTTATATCAAATCAAAAAACTATATACCATATATTTTTGTTCGTCAAATTTTTATTCTTTTTCAATTATTATAAATTTCAATACAAAAAATTCAATATTATTGAATCAAATATTCACTTTATTAACATAATATTATTATAGTTATTTTTTTAAATAAATAAAAATTTAAAGTTTTTTGTTTAAATATTTTTATACAATACAAATATATATACTATAAATATATTCCTTTTTTAAAGAATAATTATTTATTTCATTAAACATTCCAATGAATTTTTAACATTACGTAGTTATTTGTTTATAAAAATTTAAATAATTAAATATTTCTTCCAGTTTTATTTGTATACATTAAATATTTTTATTTATTTAAATTAGTATTGCTTTCTAAAGCATAAATAAATTTGCTTTTATTTCACAGCAGTTATTTATTTATTTCACTAAATGCTCAATTTTTTAAGTTTATGTATTTATTTGTTTAAATAAATTAGTAAATATAGTTAAGGTACGCTCTTATTATATATTCAAAAAATTTTTTTAAGTACTTTTGTTTTTCATCATCTTTATTTTATTTCTCTCTAATATAATTTTTTGTTTTTGTTGGAATTAATTTTCCTTTATTTTGTTTTCTTAATTTTTAACAATTTCTTTAAATTAAATTTCCATTTAATTTTAATATTTTTTTTTGCGTTACCTGATTTACTTTAATTTTTACTTTATAAACACAATGAATATGCTATGTTTTTTTTTTTAATTTTAAATTATTTAAATCTTTTTTAAAAGTAATGTTTTATAAATTTTTTAAAGTAATTTTTCTAAAATTATTTTAATTTAATTTTTATAATTTTTTTTTTCAATTAATTTATTTTAATTTTTATAACATTGCACACAAAGCTTTTTTTTTGTTTTGTTTTTTTTTTAATATGAATATCGTTTTTATGAGAAATAATTCACATTTATTAATTAATTAATATATTTTTTATTTGAATTAAATTTCACACAAAGACAATTTTTTTTTAGTTTTGTTTAAATTTTAAAAATTAATAAATTTTTTTGTTAAAAAAAATATATTAATTAATAATTTATTAAATAAGAAACTTCAATTTACTTTTATTTTTATTGGCATAATTGATTTCACCATTGACTCGAGTGACTTGAATTATTTTTATATTGTGCATACAAATTAATTTATAAATCACATTACACATTCAAGTGATTTATTTTTTGTTTTAAACAAAAGTTGGAGAAATTTAAATTTCTTTCAATTTTTATCCGATTTAATTCCTTTGACAATCGCACTAACCGACGAGTTCGAAGATACTGAAAACAATTTGATGTTGCTCATACGCACCATCGGACATCTTTTCCTTTGAGTGCTTTTATTTTTTTTATGAATGAAAAGCTTGGAAGAGTAGGAGAGCTACTTTGAGTTACTTTTGCAATTTTCTCAAAACGAAACTGTTATAAAGAAAAAAAATGGTTTTATATATAATTAAATATAATATAGTAATAAATTTTTTATGTAGTAATAAATAAAACAAAGAGGTTCTTATCAAATTATATATATATATGTACATAAAATACAAAATATATTTAAATGCAAATTAAACATAAATATAAATTATATAAATATATATATATATATATTATATAATAAATAATTATTGATATATCAACAGATTTAAGAATTAATTCCAATTAATTTCTATTTTAATACACGGAAGTAGATCTTACAAATGAAGAACTGTACGATTTTGCTTCGCCGGATATTATAATACATACAATATAACAAACATTTCCGTTTATTCGTTTAAAAATGAATTTCAGTCATTGTGATGAATCTTTATCTACATTAAACTACATTAAAAAATAAAGAAATCAAAATACTTCAGGTGTGGATACAAAACATGTTCAAAATCTTAAAATATTAGGATGGTGTTATCTTTATAATTCTCAATGAATGGGTTTAAAGAATCGAAACATTGCTTCGAAACTGATTAAATTACCCTAGGCGCTACTCCTTATAGTACTTTAACCATTCATATTCCATCAGTAAGCTGCTCGTGCTAGTAATATTAGAGTTGTTGTAATTAGGAATAATATATTACAGCAATGAACGAAAATAAACCGTACAACATCATAGTGCATTGCTCATGTCTCAAACAATTTAAAAAAATTTTAGATTGTCCGAAATATGTCCGAAACACTGAAATAGTGTACTGTTTCCGAATCTCCTGTAAAAGTTTTAATGTTCGCGTAGTATTCTTTCCTCGAAGAGAGTGATCTTTTTAATAATATTTTCGCGAAGGTTGTGATCTTTTTAATGATCTTCTTACGAAGATACTCAACTTTTTAGCGATCTTTTGCCGAAGATAGTGTGTTTTTAGTGTTAATCTAGTGTCTCTCGAAAAAACGATTTGGAAATGTTTAATAATTAAAGATATGTTGGCTTAGAATTATATTACATTAGCTAAGAAATCAACCCACCCGTGTTGTGAGGTTATACAGAAAACGCACTTTCGACTCAATATGATGCACTGATTATAAAAATTTGAAAATTGAAACTGCAATTCAACATATATAAAGTGGATATAAAGTGATTCTTAATTTTTTTGTGGCACTTTTTATTTTAACTCTCAACTAACATAAACTGATTTATATCCTTGCTTGTGAAAGAAGTTGCAGCATTACCACCGTCAACTTTGGCCACTGACATAGTAATATCAGCAATATATGTCAGAATGTAATTATATATTATATATTAGTAATAATCAACAAAACTTATATTTGACTAACAATCAAATTAAAAGCAACATAACTTATTTTTTAAAAAAAAATAAAAAAATGATACCTATATCTAATTCTAGATATATATTTAAATCTTAGATATATATACGAATGCTAGATATATATTCAATTATGATATGGTGGAAATCATATAAATGAGTCATACTTCTGAACATCTTTAGGGTATAAATTGTAATAGCCAAGTACGTCTATCGGTCTATGTGTATGTCCTTAATTTACTGGATAGAAGATTTAATTTAAAAATGTTGCTTAGGAACTTTATGTAAATACTATCAGACTGATTGACATGCTGATAATGTTATGTAACCCAGACATATTTATATATATACATACTATATTTATAACTATAATATTAACAATCAAAAATATTTATAATAATATGTAAAATAAATAATTATAAAAAGTTTAACAAATTAAAAAATAAATTAATAAATAAATTAATAATTAATTAATAAATAAATAAATGTAATGTATATTAAAAAACAATAAATAATATGTTTTAAAATACCACGCTGTACCTCTCCACCACGCACCACACCCGTGTCACGTGTTGATTGGGATAATTCAGTAATATTGTTTTCAGATGGACAACGAGGTATATTTAAATTATCAATGCCTGCATCATTGCATTCCACATTGTCTGGATTCGTTGAATGAATGTTATATAAAACTTTATTAGCAGTTCCCCGTACAAGTATTTCATCACTTTCTAAAGTTTCCATTGAGGTCCGGGTATAACATTCATTCGTAATTTTATTTTTTTTCCTGACTGTGTTAATATCAATAGAACTGTTTGCATTATTATCCACAAAGCGTAAAGTACTTGATTTACTAGAGTTTTGAATATATCCACGTTCACTCAATGGTTTACCTGAACCACGTACCAATTGGGATAGTATAATGATATTGATTTCAGGTATATTTAAAGGATCACAAGAATGTACACCATTAGCTGAATAAATGGTATTATCAGAATGATGAACGTTGTCTTTATCATTACATTGGGGCGTTAATTTGCATTGTTCCTTGCCTGGATGCGTTGTATGATTGTTATGTAAAATTTTACTAGCTGTACCACGTACGTGTGATTGATTATTTTTTACAGTTTCCATTGCAATCCGGGTATTGCAGAATTTATTTTCTTTTTTACATTTGTTCATTTTACTGACTGTATTAATATCAACAGAATTGTTGGCATTATTATCGTCATAATAAAAAGTACTTGGTTTACGGGAGTTATGATTATATCCACGTCCACTCAATGGTTTACCACCATGACCACGTCGAATACTGTAACTATTTTTCGAGAAACCATGGAAAACTTCTTTTTTGGGTATTTCGGTGTGTTCTATGTTTTGCTTTCTTTTATAATCAATGGATATATATTCACAAGTGATCTGACACCATAATGTTGCAATAGCCTTTGAGCAATGTTCTGTATTATCAATATTCTGGTGAAACTGAAAAGTAAGATGTAGAAAAGATATATAACTTTATATATTCAGTCACATTGTTTAATGTAACTTTGTTAAACAGTGAAATTCTCTAATGGGGAATGGTGATAAGATATAGTTTATACCTTAGAAAAATATCTTCCGAATATTTTTAAAATTTTTTAATATGTATGATTAAACATCGCATAATATACTTATGAAAAATCACTTGCTTGTATATAAAATAAACGGAAATTATGCAAGATCACTGCTTAATGATTAAAATACACCTATAGTTCATTGAAAAATATCGTTATCAATTTAACTTTGGACTGTACATTGTGACCGAAAAGTTTTCGGAGGTTCTCATTTAAAATTCGCGCGCTGTATATTTTTCGATATTTTAAGTTTATGTAGTTTGGCAGCCCTGTCCTTAATTACTATGCCAAAAATGAGCGCGATCTGTCAGACAGTTCGTTTACGGCAGCTGTTGAAACCAGTTCACCTCAGTAGTGCGTTGCGAAAAAACAATGGAAAAAAATATTGAACAAAGAGTTTGCATCAAATTTTGTGTTTCGAACGAAATTTCGTGTGCAGAATCGTTGCGAATGCTACAAAAGGCTTATGGGTAATCAGTTTTATCGAAAACTCAAGTTTATGAGTGGTACAAAGCCTTTCAGGACTGTCGTACGACCGTCGAAGACATGCCGCGTTCTGGACGACCTTCGGCCTCTACCACCGACGAAAACATTGAAAAGGCAAAGGAAATCGTGTTCCAAAATCCTCATGTGAGTGTTAGAGAGATAGCACGAGAGCTAGGCATCGGTCGTGAGATGGCTCGTTTGATTTTGGTGGATAATTTGTTTATGCGACGTGTCCTCGCCCGGCTTGTTCCGATTCACCTCAATTTGTTCAACATTATCAACGATTTTAAGGCCAAACATTCAATAAATACCATCGAACAGCCACCGTATTCACCTGATCTTGCACCGTGTGACTTTTTCCTGTTTCCCAACCTCAAATTACCACTCAGAGGAACGCGTTTTGAATCCATAGAAGACGTAAAACAGAATTCGCAGAGGGAACTCAAAGCCATACCGGAAAGCGCCTATATTTGCTGATTGGAAGAAAACGTGTTGGGGCATTGTGTGTCGCTTCTAGATGGAGCATGATGAGGGAATAATGTTAATAAATATTGATGAAGATTAAGAATTTTGCGTTTTATTTAAAATTTCCGGAAGCTTTTCGGTCACAATGTATATAGTCCATAATACATATTTGTATAATAATTGTAGAGTAAAGCACAAAATGCCGTCATTGAATTGCACAATAGCTTATAAGTGGCTTTGATGTGATAAGTCACATATATCTATGTCAATATATATTTGCATAGTCTGTATCTTTTTATTATAACATAGCTACAGAGCAACCTAAATATTTTATATAAAGAGAAAGAAAATTACTTAATACTACTTCTCAGATTTCAATCAAATCTGATAGCTCATTTGAGGTAACTATAATACCACAGAAGTTGTTATCTTTCATAATAAAAATGATGTTCATATACCTGACAGGCTGTTTGGATTTTGTCGCACACCCTCTCTTCAAATAACAATGAGATTTCTGACCTTGTGGCTGCATTTACGCTGATGGACGCGTTTTTCATATGTTCCAGCAAAACTTCTAGCGGTCGTATATCTAATTTAATGTCGTTTGTCCCCAAATCAAGTTTCATGAAATTCACGATATTTTGCGCTATTTTCATACCTTCCTGTATCGTATAAACTGGCCGATAAGTATTTGTTTCTTTCTCTTTTGTGAACTCAATTATTTCATTATATACTTTGGCTATATTTTTCTCACCAATAGCATATGGTGGTATTGGCAATCGATGCGTCTCATCAGAGTGTATCTTGGCATTATATTGCTCTCCGTGCAAGGATATGCCTAATAAATATTAAAATATTAATTAAAATTATTAACAGTCTAGTGTAAGAAAACAAATACTGAAATATGTTTTTTATATCAATCAGAAGTAATTTGTTGTATATTTTTATATATAGTCTGCCTCAAATCCGATAGGACTAGTCTCAACTCATCCGATTAGACTGTATACTCATTAAACCAAATATCCTTCATTTTGGGTGACGAAGCAATTTAGTAGTTATATAAAAGGTAAATAATCACTACATCGTAGTTCGTCATAATATAGGGCAAGAAACACCTAAAATTCTTCCGTTTGTCTAAGTCTTCAAACAAAACACTGTATGGAGTTTCGCTATTTCATCGAATTTTGAAGAAAATCATCTGTTCGATGAGATATATACACCATAAACTATTTAAAAAATTTGTTTGACTTTCTCGATTTTTTGCATCTTCAATTATGCAATCGTCAAGGAATCGACAATACCATATATTCATTGCATTATTAAGTATTCATATCCCACGTTTTTGGTCACTTTCAGCAAACGTAGTACCAAATTTTTTCGATCTAAGTAACTAAAATTAAATCACATTGAAAGATCGTCAAGCGATTCGACCAAATTTTGACCTTAAGTAGTGCCTAATTCACTATACATCTACTAGATGTAGATGTTTAGATGTCATTGTACTTAAAATTTGTAAGAAGCCAGACTGACCGAATCGGATAGAGACCAGTAATAACCAATTAAAATCGTTTGGGTTTAAAATTAGTTGGAAATAATGATTATTAATGATGAGTCTGATTATATCTGATTATATGGTATATTCATGATAATACAAATATACTTACACGGTTTAATCAAAGTGTGATATATATTTGTGATCCCCTCATCTATTGAAAACTCAATTAGGCAAACCTCTGCTGGAATATAGAACCCGCCTCTCAGTGTTCTGACGAAGAAATTTGCATTAAAAATAATGTATTTTTCAGAACGGATCCCTAAATGTGACAGGAATGGCATGAAGATTAATTCGTTTTATTTTATATATATTTTTTAAAGAAAAAACTTTTAAAATTCACTTACCTCTGCTCTTTGCTATCATTTGAGTTTCAGTCATGATATTGAGTTTGATTGGCTGCTCTAGTATTTTTTTATTTTCCTCCTCTTGCAATTTTGTTTGCTTGGTCTATTCCATTTTCTAAAAAATTTTCAACTAAGAAGAAATATTATTCGAAATAATATGATTCGGGTGTTTTGGAACTAAGGAAATATCTTTAATTTATTATATAGAGAACTTATTAATATGTCCACTTTTTTGTTAATTAGTTGTCACAATTCCATACTTTAGGTTTGCAGTTTAGATTTATTTATTAGATAAAGATCATACTATATATTTTAAAATAACAAAATTTTGATTTTTGATCTTGATGTTTAATCAAGATCTTGATGTGAAGATCAAGAAGTGTTACAAAACAGTAATAAAATGATAAATAATTCATAAATTCTAGAAAAAAATTTACAAGTTTATACTTACATGATGACATATGTATATACGATCATTGGAGATCATGTGATAATCCATAAAACTACTTTTTTTAGAAATTCAGCAAAACGAATCCTCGCGCTCAAATTTTTTTAAGATTCGAAGTTGAAATTCATATGCAGAGGCTGTAACAGTAATAACGTCTATCTGAATCTGGAATCACAATTCATATGTTACTTAGTTTTTGAAAATAATGCAATTTAAAATGAGATTGAATATCTGTTTTTTTTAACTTCACATAAGAGCTCACATAAGTGCTGAAGTCGAACTAAGAGTTTTGACAACAAAACAAATCATTAAATATTTTCTGAATGAGGTTTGTTAATTAATTAAAAAAAAGAAAAACCTTATTCTCTAATATATTGTTAGGCTCACTTTAGATACGCCCTTGCCATCTGCTTATCATATGAAATACAGTCAAACTTCCATAACTCGAACTTCTATAACTCGAATTTCTCTATAACTTGAACAAAAATTTTGTTCCGTGCCCATAGGAATATGGGAAAGTGGATATAAGTCGAATTTTTGTTTTAAGTATGAATCCATTTTGGTATTAGGGAAAGTCCATCTTTCCAAAACAAGTGTTTAATTTTTTTTTCTTATGTTGATTCTTTGTGCAAATGCCAGTCGCTGGCACCGTGGTTTAAAATAAATTAAATAACTTCCAATGCTACTCTTAATAATTATATTGAGCTTAACAATGAAATTTGTACATTAAGCTTTCCCAAAGATGACGATATTATTGAGCATTATAGCTCTGAATTAGTTTATCCAATTCTAAGCGCAACGGAAAATGATGATGAGGGTTCGGTGGATGTGATTGTTCATCAGCGCTCCAAGAAGGAAATAGAAGACCCATTCAAAATTTTGAATCTATATTTGCAAACGAATTATACTACAACTGATGATTACTATAAGAGTATGCATAAAATGGAATCCCTTTTTATTGAAAATAAGAAAAAAATGAAAGTCTCAAACCCTAATATCTGAATATTTTACTTCACTATTACTTCTGTGTTTTGTTTGATTGCAAATAAATAAACATCTTAAAATGTAATTCTAGTTTCTTTCAAAAATAAAAAAAGAATAAAAAAATTCTCTAAGTCGAAGTCTCCATAAGTCGAACATTTTCTTTGCAAAATTAGACTTCGAGTTATGGAAGTTTGACTGTACTAACAACGCTCGTGGTCTGCACATTTCAAAATCAGATAATTTTGCTATAGTTATATCACCTCAAATTCTTAAGGTAATATAATCACAATCTCGAAACATCTTAATCCAACGATTATTTTAAATCGAAATCGTTTTTCATTTTGGCATGTTGTGAGTCTGGTTCTAAATGCCTATAGCATGGCACGGTGACAGGCCCGGTATGTTCGGCATCTAGGGTCACACTCACAACAACAAGGTTGACACAACATAGTCTTTAAAGGACAGTTGTAGATAAAAGATTTATAACAAAAAAATAATTTTTTTTACAAAAAAAAAAAAAATTAAATTTTTTATTAAATTTGTGCCCTGATTTTGATTCGATGTTTGGTCTTGCAGTTCTTCAAAATATTACATACAATATTAAATACAAATTAATTTCCAAGACCCGATGATGGGATTTGGCAATACTCGAAACAGCTGTATGGTCAGCGAAAAATTCAAAATTAATTATAATATAAAAAATAAAATTTTTGTTGTTGTAGTTTACTACTGTTTAAAAAAACTTATTTATAAAAATTTAAAGAAAAGTCAGGTTTTCCGCAAAAATCACTACACATTTTCCGGATAAAAAAATAACTCTAAACCACCACAACTTTTAAACGTATCAACGTAAAATACTCAATTTAAAGGAAATTTAATGGATTATGAGATTATCTTTTGGATGTATGAGAAGCATGCAGAAAGCACCCTATATATTTGATTTAATGAAAGCCCTAACCATACGTGTTTATAGTTAAAGGATTCATTTCGCAATTGATGTAAAATCAGTTCAGCTGGAGAATTTGTATGCAGCGCTACATTTTCAATGAGTTACTTAGGACGTGTGCGAGTTAGGCTAAGTTGAT